ACAAAACAACTTCTTGCTGATGGGTCTGGGTAAGAGAAGATGGGGGAAGGTATTGTTGATGGATTATGATTCAACTGTGAGTGACCGACCGTTAACAGGGCTAACTGTGTTTTGCCGTCTTGTTGGGTATATAATGAGTCACCTCAGAAGTAGACAGGGAGTATCATTATAGTCAAGGAAGAAGAGCCAGGAGTGTAGTGCATGCTTTGGACCCGAGATCCCTGGTCACTGAACTGCCTTGACCGACAGAGAAAAAGCTGAAACAATGGAGGAGAAGCAGAAGGGTGGCATCAGCAGAACCAAGAGTCTGAACACCCAACAAGAGTGGTGGGCTTCCTAGCCCTTGGAACAAGTAAAGCTGAGTGCATTAGGGCTGGAGGCTTACTTAAGGATGGGGTGCCTCCAGGTACTTACTGAGAAGCTAGGTCTACTGATCTATGGAGCTAGAGCTAGCTGAGCTAAGGCTTATAGCTGAATTAAGTGTCCTTGAAGCAATTATCAGCAGCACTAAAATGGCTTTGCAACATTGTTGAGCAGGGCTGAAGCTAGGCCAAAAGGTCAAAGTCCAGAGAGAGGCCAGCCTGTGAGCACTGGTGAGGACAGACTGTCCCGGCTGGAAGAACTGTAACCTGTTAACTTCCCTAGTAAACCTCGTAACTGTTGAGTCTGGTGCCTGAGTTCTGTGTGGTCACTGCAATGAGTTCTCGAACGCAGCTGAGTAGAGAGGGCTGTGGAAGGGATGGTTGGTGTTTAGTTTGATAAAGAAGCTAGAAGTCTGGAGGCATGTCTGACCTCAGTCCCATAGGAACTGGCCCTGCGCTGATGCTGCTAATGGTTATTCTCCATCCCCCTGGTAAAATAACAGGCAGTCAGAAGTTGTCTCCCCTTTTACACTCTTTTTGCTGATGAAATGAGCCTATGTGAACCGGAAGGTCAGCAGTTCAAAACTACCAGCTGCTCCACGGGAGAAAGATGAGGCGATCTGCTCCCGTAAAGATTTAGAGCCTTGGAAACCCTATTCAGGGTCGCTATGGGTCGAAACCGACTCGACAGCACTTAACAACAACAACAACAATAGGAAACCTCAAAGAATCCACAAAAAGGCTACTAGAATAAGCAAATTCAACACATAAAAACCAGTCAGATTTCTACACATCAGTAATGAACATTCTGAAAAGGAAATTAAGAAAACAATTCCATTTACAACAGCATCTATCACAATAAATACCTAGGATTAAATTTAACCAAGGAAGTAAAAAACTTGTCCAATGTTGTTAAGTGCCTTCGAATTGGTTCTGACTCATAGTGAACCTGTATGGGGTTTCCAAGGAGTAGCTGTTGAGCTTAAACCACTGATCTTGAAGTTCAGACCAACCTTGCAGTCCAGAGCATCAACCCACAGCACCATGCCAAGATTCCAACCAAAAAAGTAAAAGACTTGTCCATAGAAAACTGAAAGAAAACTAGAGACCTAAAAAAATGGAAGGACATTCCATGTTCATGGATTGGAAGACTTAATGTTAAGATGTCAATATTATCCAAAACAATCTACAGATTCAATGCAATTCACATCAAAATTTTGAGTTTTCTTTGCAGGTATAGGAAAATCAATTCTCAGATTTAGATGGGACTGCAAGGAGTCCTAAATAGTCAAAATAGTCTTTAAAAAAGAAGAAAGTAGAACTTACACTTCCCAATCTTAAAACATACTATAAAGTTATAGTAATCAAAACAGCCCAATACTGGTATAATGATAGACAACACTGGCCAATGGAATGTGAGGGTAAGCCAAAAAGTATTGTTGCAGAATCACAGACCCCTTTATTAAACAAAATTATCAAAATATGAAGAACATATCCTCTATCTAGGTCTATATACTTCAGAGAGATGGTGTTGTATCTCTTTAACCCTTCCCCCAAAGAATTCTGTACTTTTAATTTATACCAATGAAACACTGCCTTGCTTTGTGCCATCCTCACAATCTTTCTAATGGTTGAGCCCAATGTTGCAGCCACTTTGTCTATCCCTCTTCCTTGAAGGTCTTCCACTTTTTTACTGACCCTCTACTAAGCATGAAGTCCTCTAGGGATTGATCCCTCCTGATAACATGTCCAAAGTATATGAGACGAAGTTTCACCATCCCTGATTTTCAGGAGTATTCCGGCTGTACTCATTCCAACACAGATTTATTTGTTATTTTGGTACTCCATAATACATTTTGCAAATGCCATAATTCAAAGGCATCAATATTTCTCTGGTCTTTCTTATTCACTCCACAACTTTCTCATGCAGATAAAGTGACAACTGAAGGGCCAGCTGCACTTTAGTCTTCTAAGTGGCATTTTGCGTATTAACACTTTAGAGAGATGTTTTGCAGATTTGCTCAATGCAATATGTCATTTGATTTCCTGACTGTTACTACCATGGACCTTGATTGTGGATCCAAGTAAAATGAAATGCTTTAAAAAAAACTTTTAAACTTTCGTTTTTTCTGTTTTTCATGTTGCTTATGGGCCCAATTGTGAGGATTTTTGTTTTCTGTTGGGTTGTAATCCATATTGAAGGTCTTATTCTATGATCTTCATCAATAGTGCTTCAAGTCCTCTTGTTGTGTCATCTGCATATTGTAGATTGCTAATGAGTCTTCCTTCAATACAGATGCTGTGTACCTCTTCATATACTCCAATTTCTTGGATTATCTGCTCAGCATACCAATTGAATAAATATGGTGAAAGCATTTAATCCTAACACACACCTTTCCTGATTTGAATCACACAGTATCTTCTTGTTCTATTTCAGTACTATCTCTTGCCCTATGTATTGGTTCCACATTAGCACATTAAGTGTTCAGGAATTCCCATTCTTCACAATGTTATCCATAATTTGTTATGATCCACACAGTCAAACGCCTTTGAATAGTTAAGTCAATGAAACCAAAGTAACCACTTTCCTGCTTCCATCCAAGATCCAGCTGATGACAGCAATGATATCCCTCGTCCCATGCCCTCTCCTGAATAGTCATTAATCATTAGGAAAATGCAATTTGAAATTACAATGAGATATCACTTCATCCCACTAAGATGGCCATGAAAGAATCCTGAACTGCATTCAAACTGCATCTGAGGGGTATTCACAAGTTTGTGAAAATGGAATTTGTTCATGAACTTTTTGAAGACTCCTTGTATTTGTCCTTTTGTGACTGACTTATTTCACTCAACATGTTTTCAAAGTTCATCCACGTTGTAGCATATACAAGGGAGTGCCACAAAGTTCACGGAGTACTTCTAGGACAAGATGGCATAGTAGGCAGGCTCTCTGAGCAGACCCTCAGGAACAAGGAAACAAGAGATCAAGCGAAACAGATACAAATGATCTGGAACCTGGAACCCTGAGTTTTGGAAAGTTTGATTATGCCTTAGTGATCTTTTGCGGTCTATTCTATTTGAACTTTATTCAACTTCTTGAATGCTTATCTTTTCATCTTTCATGACATGAGAGAGGGTTGTCTTCTACCAACTATTTCATAATTTTCTCTTTTTTTTTTCCTGTCTCTTCCTGCTCTGAAATTCCAGTCACACATTCCTCTTGATGGTGCACCACATAATTCTTTGGCTTTCTTCCATTTTTTTGTCCTCTAGCAGATGAATATTGAGAGATTTGTCTTCAAGCTCACTAATTCGGCCTTCAATTCTACTTTTTGTTCATTTTGTCCCTTGTATTATACGATTCCATTTATAAGACATATCTAGAACAGGTAAATGTATATATAGTTTACATTTGGTAAATGTATATAAAGTTTACATATAGGTAAATGTATATAAAGTTTACTAATGGTTGCAAACCTTAAGGTCAGCGGTTCGAAACTACCAGCCGCTCTGCGGGAGAAAGATGAGGCTTTCTACTCCCGTAAAGATTTACATCCTTGGAAACCCTGTACAGGGTCGCTATGGGTCGGAACCAACTCGATGGCACATAACAACAACAACAATGGTTGCCAGAAGTGGGAATGAGGGAGGGAGAAAAAGGAAGTAACTGTTTGAGGGGCACTAAACTTCTGTTAAATGTGATGGGAAATTTTCGAAACAGATAATGTTGATGGTTGTACAACATGCTGAAAGTAATTAATGTCACCAAATTCACTGTAAAAATATCACTACAAAAAACAGCAAATGTTTTTTATTATATATATTTACCACAAATCATATGGATGATTTTTTGTTTATTTTTAGAACTGGGGTTTGGATAGGGAGCCTAATAAAATTTGTGTTTTATTTTCATCAAAAAGTCAAGAATAATCAATTCTAATCCATCCACCAGTAGATGAGGCTTGCAAGTACTCTATGACAGCTGCCACTGTATTTTTAGCACAGCTGATATATTCAATTATCTAAAATCTAAAGATAAACTACTTACAGCACATTGATAGTAAAAAATCCACTCCATAAATAAAATTACTAACAAGACTTTCTTTTTTTAATGAATGAAATCCAGTGTTCTTAAAATAAAGGAATCTCTTGTGATAATTGTAATTTCTAAAGTGGTGTCATTTTACAGTTAAGTAAGATATCACTTTAGGACTCTACTGGCTGCCAGAGAGAGGTATAAGGTAAGGATGAGGTCTGGCACCTCCTTCCCTGATTATGAAAGTCCATGCTATGGAGACTTGGTGGTGCTGTGGGTTAGGTATTAGGCTGCCAAGTGCAAAGTTGCTAGTCCACATCTCCCAGCTGCTTCACCAGAGAAAGATGAGGCTGTCTACTCCCTTGAGAGTTATAGTTTTGGAAACGCTACATAGGGAGTCAGAATCAACATAATGGCAGTACTCTTGTTTGTTTGTTTTTTAAATATAACAATTAAATCCAAATAGTCAACTGGAAGGCAATAACATCATTAAAACTATGTTTTACAAGCCCACCAAAATATTAACATTTAGTTGCACTACACTATATCTACTATTAAATGTGGTTCTATTCAGAGCTCAAAGGCTCTATCAGTCTCACCTTAGTACACACCACCCGTACAACCACTTTCCATAAGGCAGAAGAATCAGACCCAGGTTGTACTTCAAAGAGCAGATGTTTTTCCTGTCCAGCAGCCACCTTAGCAATTCTGAACAAAGACAAATGCATTTATTTGTTAATTTCATAAAATTCATTTAAAAAATGGAGCTATGAAACAAGACTAAAGTAACACTTTTGAACAGAGAAGGAAATTTGAAATACACACAGAGATAAATAACAATTATAATCATGGTAATAATTAGATGCTTAAAACATGAATAAAGATACTGGACAAACAGAGATGGGAAGAACCCCTAAGACTATCACCCTAAGATACCCTTTGAACTTGGAACTGAAGTCACTTACAATGGTCACCTTTCATCTAAATAACAGGTTGGCTTATAAAATAAGTAATATCACCTGTGAGCACTGTGCTCCCTTAAATAATCAACTACATGCTACCAAATGGTTGACATTTACTCAAAAACTAAAGATGAGAAACTTGGGAGTGGCTGAGAAGTTAGATAAATGAAAGTAAGAGCGGAAATAATAAGAATGTTTTTTAAATGTACAGCATTTAAAAATGCTATACATTTAAAAAAATATAACCAATGTCATGGAAAAACTTGTATAAAAACTAAATGGGAACTTAATAACACACACACATCAAGATTGATGCTAATGGAATTCCAGACAATGAGACTGATGGAAGAGGGAGAAGTGCTGGGTAAGGTGGGTCATAAGACACACAAACAGGAATAAAGGAGGATGTTTTCAACTTACATAAACATACAACTTAATTTATATATAAGGTTATAAAGTCAAAAGCATTGTAGAATATTTTTAAGTCTTTTTGTCATATCTTTATCTCAATGGTCTTTACATTTCTTAAAAAAGACAGGAGTTTATCTGGTTTCATATATCCAAATTTTGACAATTACCTCAGTTGTAATAAAGTATGAGGAAATCTTGCTTAGTTGAGTGCTTATTATGCCTCTTTGAAAATTTTGTTTTATAGATAATTTGGGGCTGAATCAAGAAAAACAAATAATTTGAAAATAGCACTATTGCCCTCCCCTTGTTGTTGTTATTTGCTGTGGAGTCGGTTCCGACTCATAGTGACCCTGCACAGGGTTTCTGAGACTGTGAATCTTTACGGGAGCAGAAAGCCTCACCTTTCTCCCGCGGAACAGCTGGTAGTTTCAAACTGCTGACCTTGCAGCTCACAGCCCAATTCATAACAACTACGTTACCAGAGTACTCTATTGCCCTCCCCTAGCGGAATAATTTTAATTTAGAGAGCTACAAGATTCTAAAGTAAAAAATAAAACATTTTTAGAGGCTAACTCAATATTATGCTACCAACATTAATTTAAGTCAGTTCAAAGACATTACTTGAATATTGCAGCTCCCTTTCATCACTATTCATTAACATTTCTCTCTGAACACCAGTGGGGTATTCACACTCAGTTTAGTGACTTACAGATACAGAAACTGAGGCAATCAAAAATGAACAATTGGCCCTATGTAACACCTGCCAATGAATATAATTTAGCTGTGTCAGTTTCAAGTTCTATTTTCTGGCTATCAAGCCATGTTCCCTTCATTTAGGTCTAACCTTACTACCCTCAGGCAGCCTTGCGTTTGTGAAACATCAACTCTGACCTACAGGAATTGGTTTTAAGTGCCAGAAGTGTCCTGTGCTACATAAATAAAAGGAGGTATTCTTCACCAACACCTCCTTGTTACACAGTAAGCTTAGTTTGTGGACACTTTCATAAGATACGTTTTATCCAGTATCTTTAAGTCAAAAAACAAATGTCACAGACTCTGCTTATATATATTAATTCTAAGACTCTAAAAGGATGGTAAATGTCATTGATTAGTTTCACGGTTGAAACAGTTAACAAAAACATATTTCATTCTTTTGACACTATTAAAATTCTAAATTCAATTTTACTCCATATGTTCTGAGAAGTAATGATTTATTGGAATGATTTTTAAAGAAGTGCTAGTTTTTAAAAACCATTAACTATATTTCATTATAAAAGATCATACAATAATGTAATATACTGAGCAAAATGTAAACTCTCCATTAACTGCCCTCTTCCTCAGCAATTCCCCACCCAGACAAAGCAGAGTTCAGTGTGTATCCTCGTATTTCATTTTCTATGTATTTATATGATTGTATATAGAGTTCTGGTGTGGCACTGTAGGATAAGCACTGGACTGCTAATCATAAGGTGGGTGGATCAAACCAACCAGCCACTCCTTGGAAACCCTATACAGGGTTGATATGAGTTGAAACCAACTTGATGGTACTTAACTTGATGGTACATATAATGTGTATGTCCACCTAAGTTTTTTTTCCCCAGTGTTCTCAAAAGAATTGGCTACCTTTGGCTTTTAAAACCAATTCCCATGGGTCACATAATTGGGCATTTCACAAGTACAATGCTGTCTGAGGACAGTAAGGTTAACCCCATACAAAGGGTGCATGGCTTACTAGCTAGAAAAGTGAACTAGGAATTGGCACAGCTGAATTATTTTCATTGGTAGACTTTGTTACCAAGGGCTAGCTGTTCACCTTTGATGGCCTCAACTTAGGTATCTGGAAGTCACTTACAGATTGTATCCATAATCAATGCTAATGAAAGCAGCAGTCAAGAAATGAAATGATATATTGCATTAGGCAAATCTACTGCAAAAAGACCTCTTTAAAATGTTAAAGAGACAAGACATCACTTTGAGGGCTAAGATGCACCTGACCCAAGCCATGGTATGTTCAATCACCTCATATGCATGTGAAACTTGGACAATAAGGAAGACCATAAAAGAATAAATGTATTTGAATTATGGTATTGGTGAAGAATATTTAAAGTACCATGGACTTCCAGAAGAACAAACCTGTCTTGGAAGTAGTACAACAGGAATGCTCCTTGGAAGCGAGAATGGTGAGATTTCACCTCTCGTACTTTCAACATGTTGTCAAGAGGGACCAGTCCCTGGAGAAGGACATCATGCTTGATAAAGTGGAGGGTCAGCAAAAAGGAGGAAGACCCTCGATGAGATGGAATGACACAGCGGCAGCAACATGGGTTCAAATATTAATAGCAATAACCAACTTAAGGTTGGTGCAGGACTGGGCAGTGTTTCACTTTGTTGTGCACAGGTTTGTTATGAGTAGAAACCAACTCAATGGCACCTAACAACAAGAAGTCACCTAGTTAAGTGTGGTATCCCCTCTGGTGCTCAAAAAAAACTGTAAATGAAAATGATACAAAGGAGCTGCAATATATAAGTAGCTATGTCTTTGGACTGATTTAAACTGGTATTGATGTGATAGTATGTTATTGAAGTAGTCGCTAATAAAGGTTTTCTATTTTTACATTAGAATTCTGTAGTTTAATCTCTTCATGATTGACTGATATTAGTAGACGTTAGCCATGTTCATTAAAAAAAAAAAAAAAACACAACAGTATTTTGCTCTCCTTATCTAATGTATTCCAGATAGTCTAGTGATATAACATTGTAAGTCCACATGCTAAGTAGTTCCAGACTGCTATCGATTTTATTTGGCCATGTTTTGTTTTAAGGAAAGATAATATGGAATAGTGGAAAGAGCTTCACTTAGAAAAGCTGGATCTGACATTAATACTTGTATAATTGTTTTGTTTTTGTTGTTGGGAGTCATTAAATAGACTTTGACTCATTAACAGCACCATGTGACAAAGCAGAACTGTCCCATAGTTTTCTTGATTGTAATCTTTACAGAGGCAGATTGTCAGGTCTTTCTCCTGTAGAGTGGCTGGGTGTGTTTCAATTACCAACTATTTAGTTAGCAGCTGAGTGCTTAGCTGTTTGTGCCACCAGGCTGCCTAAGCAATCATTTTAGACTGAAAGTAAAGTACTCATTGTCAAGAAGAGTGCCTTGCGCATACCATGTGCTCAGTGAACATTAGCTAAATTGAATAGACTAAAGACTCTTCAAGCTCTCATTTAAGGGGCAACTCTAAATGAGATATAATTATACCTCCAGGGGGACATAAGATAGTGGAGTTACTTTATACATATACATATGGAGTCCTGGTGTGCTACTGTGGGCTAATGCACTAGACTATAAAGTCGTTTGAACCACAGGTCAGTAGTTCAAGCTCACCAGCCGCTCCCTGAAAACCCTTTACAGGGTTGCTATGGGTCGGAACTGACTCAACAACACTTAACAACATAAGTATACATATGACTATGAAGAGGGATGGGTGTGGGTGGCTTCATAGAAAGAATTATAGTTGTCCAATTGTCACTAGAGGAAATTATATTTTAAAAGCACAGCAGTTTGGGGTCATTTAGGGACAAGGGGTCCAGCATATTTCAATAGGTTCTATGCAGAACAGTGTGAAAATTCATCTATTAAAGACCCCAATTCACAAAAAAAAAAAGATTAAATTCTGCTAGGTGTGCAGTTTATGAAGGCAGAGAAATTTATATTCCATTTTAGATACAAATATATTCAAAATAATTAAGTCAAGATTTAAAAGGTATAAGTTGATTAGAAAATATTAATGAAATATCCCATTCTTCAGTGATAAGAAGTCTGGGAGTGTTGTAGCACCATACAATAAGCACTGGACTGCGAACCACAAGGTCTGAGGTTTGAGCCCACCAGTCGCTTGGTGGGAGAAAGATGAGGCTTTCTGCTCCCTTGAAGATGCAAAATCTTGGAGACCCTATATAGTGTCACCATGAGTTGGAACCGAGACTTGACAACATTTAACAAAAATGATTTTCAAAAAAGGAAAAAGGGAAAGCATTATTACCATATATGTATTAAGGAGCTCTGGTAGCGTAGTGGTTACGAATCGGGCTGCGAACCTTAGGGTCAGCGGTTCGAAACTACCAGCCGCTCCGCGGGAGAAAGATGAGGCTTTCTACTCCCGTAAAGATTTACACCCTCGGAAACCCTGTACAGGGTCGCTATGGGTCGGAATCGACTCGACGGCACTTAACAACAACAACATGGCAAATAATGGCTTTGTGAGGAAACATAAGATTTTTTTTTTTTTTTAATCAGTGGAATTGACTGATATACAGAAAACTTCTTAGCGTTGCCTCTGACTATCCCAAGAGCCTTTCTCCAAAATGCTAATTGGCATAAGCCTTTTTGCTATACATCTACACAGTGTTTTCAAACAAGAGTCAATTTATATTATATTAGTGTACAACCTATGGACCACAACATTCTGATCTGAAACTCATCATGATGGTGCAGGACCAGACAGCTTTATGTTCCGTTGTGGATCCAACTCTATAATGGTTAACTATAACAACAGTGTACAATTGCTGAGATATTGGGATGTATATTCTAAAATTGCTTCAGTATGTTTATGGTGGGTTGTCCAAATTCAACATTAATTTCCTCCACTCACTTCTGTTTCCATTACATGTTTTATAAAAGTTACAAGGAAAGTGTACTAATAATGTTGTGGTGAAGTGCTGTCGAGTTGATTCCCACCCATAGTGACCCTGTATGGGGTTTCCAAGGAGCACTTGGTAAACTTGAACCACTGACTTTGCAGTTCAAATGACTTTGCAGTCCGACACATTCGCCCACAGTGCCACACCAGGACTCCATACTAATAATAGGTACTAAATAAATTATACAGCCATGACATATGGGACACACATCAAAGGGAACAAAATAAAATGAAAAAGAGTAAGCCTTACACATCATTCAGTTCAGCTACTCTCCCAAGAAATTCTTCGTAAGTTAAAGAGCCACTTTCTCGAACCAATAAGACATGTTTTGCTACTTTTTCTGGTAACTTGTTAATAACCAGTTGTGTTTGATCCGAAATTTGCTGTCCCATGATGAAGTGGAGTCTTTCAAAATCCAGAAAGGATGCTGCTGCATTCACATATTTTCTGTCAAATATACATAAAAGTTACTTTTACATATAAAACCAATGTATACTTCATATACTTATTCCTTAAAAAGGAGTCCTGGTGTGGTGCTGTGGTTAATGTGCTGGACTACAAAGTCAGTGTGAACTGACAGCACTGAACAACATTCCTTAAAAAGCAAACAAAGTACGAATACCTTTAAATTCAGTAAACCTACATGAACCTAAGGTGGAAATTTACTTAATGGGCTACATTTTTAAATGTACTGTGTTTTCAGATTCACATAGCTAAATGGGAAAACAGAATTCACTTACATTACTGGGAGGGTAGTGAACTTCTAATTCTTTTAATTTTTCTAAGTCAAAAAGCATTTTAAAACAAAATTTTAATTGATTATATTTAATAAGAAGTTTGTCTGGCTTATAAAAATTTCTTAAGAACATTTCCTGACTGCTTATAACATGTTAGGCTCCAAACTAAGTGATTTCCACACACGAAAAGGATCAAAAAGTTCATAAAAAAATTCTATTATCTTTCAGTTTCATTTTTCCACAAAGTTTCTGAAACCTCCTTGTATTATCTCATTTATTTCATACAATGACACTAAGAAGTAGTTATTATTATATTCCTCCTGGTGTGGTGCTTAGGTATAAGCACTGAATATAAGCTAACTGCAAGGTCAGTGGTTCAAACCCATCAACTGCTCCTCGGAAACCCTTCAAAGGGTCGCTATGAGTCAGACAGGCTCGACAGCACTTAACAACAACAATCTTAAGATAAGGAGCCGAGCTAAGTGACTTTATCAAAGGTTACACAGTTGGTAAGTGTTACAAGAAAACTCTGAACTCATGCCTTTCAGACTCTAATGCTCACCATGTTCTTAACCACTATGATAAATTGGCTCAGATATAATTACATCAGCTAAAAAGTATTTGTTGTTGAATTATTTATATATTTTTTTAATTAAAAAATAAAAGAGCTTTGGTTTAAAAAACATGAGATTAAAATACTAGGGAATTAAAAAATCTATTTTCTGCTTCGTTGTTGTGTTAAGTGCCATAGGGTTTCCAAGGAGTGGATGGTGAGTTTGAACTGCCAACCTTGTGGTTAGCAGGCCAGTGCTTAAATGGACTGGCTGCTCTTTTGTTTTTTAAATCCTCCAGGTATTTTTTGTTACTTAAAATTAATACGATTTGTTTTCTTAATATGAAGATGCTATCTTAGTTAAAAAGTAGTAATAATCTACTATCAATACAGATTAATAATTCACTGAATTGCCTTTAAAATTTAATCACAAAACAGGTTAATTTAATAAATGCTTACTAGAAAGTCTTGAAAGGAGCTCTGGTAGCATAGTGGTTACGAATCAGGCTGCGAACCTTAAGGTCAGCGGTTCTAAACTACCAGCTGCTCTGCAGGAGAAAGATGAGGCTTTCTACTCCCGTAAAGATTTACACCCTCGGAAACCCTGTACAGGGTCGCTATAGGTCAGAACCAACTCGACGGCACTTAACAACAACAACATAAAGTCTTGAAAGGAGCTCTGGTAGTGTAGTGGTTACAAGTTGGGCTGCTAATCTCATGCTCAGCAGTTTGAAACTACCTGTGGCTCTGTGGGAGAAAGATGACTTTCTGCTCGCGTAAAGATTTACAGCCTTGGAAACCCTATGCAGGGTCGCTATGAGTTGGAACCAACTCCACAGCACACCACCACCACCAGCACCATAAAATCTTGAAACCTATCATTCCAAGTGTGATGACTAGAGAAGAGTTGGACAGCTTTTTTCCTTTGATAAATAACTACTTGTCAGAATATAAACTCTTAAGAATATGGTTAAAATAAAAAATATGTTAATTTTTAGTATTTAGCTATGGTGACATATACTATAACTGAATATGAAAATTCCTATTTAACACAATATTACTATTAATAGTAAAGCCACGGAAATTTTTAGTCATTTCTACTGTGTCACATACTCTGAACTGACTTGAAGACACTTAGTAACAACAACAAAGATTACACCAAGAAAAGAGGGTAACTGAGGAAACAAGCATGGAGAAATTAAAGTAATTTTCCCAAAGTCAAATTACTACTATTGTTGTTGCTAAGTGCTGTTGAGTCGGTTCTGACTCAGCGACCCTGTAGAGGGTTTTGAGGCGTGGCTTAGGGGTCTGAACCGCCAACCTTGGAGTTAGCAGTCCAGAGCTTATCCTACAGTGCCACACCAGAACACCAAAGTCACAAGCTAGGACTAATATTTTTTACAGTGAAGAAAAAAGAATAAGCAATACAATTTTTAAAAATTCCATCTTATCTACTCATCAAAGACTACTATTTTATCTTATCTAAATTAATACTACACATATACAGCAGGTGAAATAGTTACAATTACCTTTATCTGAAAGCTTTGCCAGTTAACCTGCTCTTTCATTTAATCTAAGGTAAAGTTATAAACTTAAAACATAAAGCCATTAGAACTTTATATTGCTACAATTATTATAAGTGCTCGCAATAATCATAATATGTAAATTTTGCTTTTGGTATTAAAATATAGTCTACATACTGTATTTTAGATTTCTTCTTTTAGCCACTTTATAGGAAAAGTACAATTGTACTAAAAAAGAAAACCCAACAATTACTATTTGAATCTGCGCCTACTTGGCAACAGTAAATATCATACTACAGAGATAAATGAAAGGAAGTTGTTGAGGAAGATCCAGGCCACTAAAAAAACATCTGTGCAGGAAAATTATATATTTTAAATATAGTCAAATGGATTCATGGCAACTATATCCAGAAAGAAACACTTACAGATCTTAGCTTGCAGGAAGTCTCTAGGGAGGATGCATCTAGCGTATTCAGTATCAGATTTCTGGGTTTCACAGACACTAAACTCTCAAAGGACCGTGGTGTTGCACACTTCTTTGTATTCCAAGTAAGGATGGTTTAAAAACCAAAGAAATAAACCAATTCTAATAAAACCATTATTTCATTTTCAAGAGCCATTTACAGCCAAAAATGAATTTAGGATATAATGCTAGAAAAATAGTCCTTCCCAGTAAGGGCAGTAACTACACACTAATGCATACATATTATATATAATACACTGTCCTATTTTTCTTGTTCTAATCAAAACCTGTGAAAACTGCCAGGCTAGTATTTGGGAGCCATTGTGTTACTAGGACTTTTTAGTGTTTCCAAAGAGCAGCTGGTGGGTTTGAACTGTCGATCTTGTGGTTCAAAATGACCTGTGGTCCAGTGCATTATCCTGCAATGCCACACCAGAACTCCATAATCAAAACCTGTAAAAACTGCCAGAGGTTACAGACTATTATCAGGGAGCCAGCTCTGGTAGTGTAGTTGATTACGAATCGGGCTGCTAATCTCACGGTCAACAGTTCGAAACTACCAGCTAATATGAAGATATTAGCTGGAGAAAGATGAGGCTTTCTGCTCCCATAAAGACTTACAGCCTCGGAAACCCTATGCAGGGTCGCTATGAGTCAAAACTGACTCCACAGCACATAACAACAATGTTGTTTTACTAGGACTTTTATAAAACATTAAGTTCAACAACTACCATGCTTTGGTGCTCTGCTAAACCCTGGACATACAACAGTGAGGAAGAGAAACATGGTTCCTGCCACTGAGAAGCAGCCCATACAGTGGGGATGAGAGAGTAATCACACATTAATATGTAATTACAAAATGAGGAAAAGCTGAGTCAAACCTATATTGTTGTTGTTGAGTGCCGTAGAGTCGATTTCAACCCATAGCGACCCTGTACAGGGTTTCCAAGAAGCAGCTGGTGAGTTTGAACCGCTGATCTTGCAGTTCAAATGGCTTTGCAGTCTGGTACATTACCCCACAGCGCCTAGGGTTCTATAAAAGCCTATCACAAGGGGCTTGGCTTAGTCTTGTCAGGAAAGAAGTCTCTAAAGAAGCATATGGTTGGAGCTCAGGTCAGTCAGAGTTAGCCAGAAAAGAGGTGGGGGAGACATGCTGCTGCTGAGAGGACACTCTGGGCAGAGATAACATAAAGTGCCTGAGACAAAAAGGATTATGAGGCTAGCATGACCAAAGTGGAGAGGTAGAGGGAGAATATGAATGGCACTCACATGGGTTGTTTAACATTTTTATGTTTCTAAACAGACAGCGTTGTGGTTACGATTCGGGCTGTGAGCCACAAGGTCAGCAGTTCGAAACTACCAGCGGTTCCGCGGGAGAAAGATGAGGCGGTCTGCTCCCGTAAAGATTTACAGCCTCGGAAACCCTGTGTAGGGTCGCTATGAGTCGGAACCGACTCCACGGCACATCACAACACAACAACAACAAAACAGACAGCAGAGGACTGCATGCCTGCCCAATCTTTGGATGACCAAAATTGGAAGGAATAAATAATATACACTGAAAACAATTAATATTGAAATAGATATTGATGTAGTGAAACTAGACATACTATATTTAATGATCAAACATTAAATCCTGAATATTTTCAAAGCCACAAAAACACAGTAGGAAAATGGATTAAAAAGTTATAATCTAGAAGATAATTGGTATATAAGAGAATTTATCAAAATACGTTGATGGCATAACAGGGACACCAAACATACTAAAATAACCCTAAACCCTTGCTGGAAGTAATGTCTAAGAGCAATGAGCGATTGTATTCTGTACTGGCTACACCAAGTGCTGCAGTGAATTATTTAATGTCTTCTAGCCATGCAAACCTTAAGGTCAGCGGTTCAAAACTACCAGCCACTATGCAGGAGAAAGATGAGGCTTTCTACTCCCGTAAGGATTTACACCCTCAGAAACCCTGTACAGGGTCGCTATGGGTCGGAACCGACTCGACGGCACTTAACAACAAGCCATGACAAACACTCCCACCAAAAGACTTTTTTCCGCACGGGTCTGGCTAAGAGAAGGTGGGGACAGATGCTGATGGATTATATGATTCAGTTGTGAGTAACTGGTAACGGGGTTAATTATGACTGTAAAAACTTGGAACTCTAATTTG